TACAAGCCTCAAGAGCCTAATGCGGTTATAGATACAAAGTATACAAAGTTTAAGATTACAACTTTGGCATGCCCTAGAATCTTGATTTCACTGGTAACGCACATGCTTCAAAATTTACGGAGACTTTGGTACCGGTCAGGGGTGGGGTTGCGAGATAACGTTTTTGTGAGTATTGCAAAATGCCAAAAGCGATGTCGCACACTGCAGTTTCCCCTTTTAAACTTGCAAAATTCCTTCGTCGGCCCCTCCTCTATCCGCTGGATTACAGAGACCACTAGTAAGCTGCATAGGAAGACCGAATGACAAGTGGTTGCTGGGTGTGACATTATTCCACCTTCTCAAATACATTCCTGCGCATCTTGAATACCTACGTGTTTCTTGAGCGGCTGCACAACGCAAAACTGGAAGGTAGATGTAGTATGGAGTCTTTCGACGTCACCTCACTCACCAAATTTTTCAATACGGATATTCTGCAAGCAGTATACGAATTTCTGTGCGGCTACTACGGCTCGCTTAATTTTTATGGCTTCAACATAAGGCAAGTGATGACGTTCTGGATGAATGGTTGAAGTGCTCCCTATTTTATAAGTCTGGTTAGTACTTCAAGCAAATTAGAGGTTTAACCATGGGGGTCAAAGATAGTACCTATAGTGATGATGGTTATTATGTCGGAAGTTGAAGGTTTGGTGCTACCGCGCTAACCTCTCTTGTACTTCAGGTACATTGACGATTGCTAAATTGTATTCTAAAAAGAAGTTAATACATGTTTCGACATTCTGAATGAGCAATCGCCAAGTATAAAACTCACTAGCAGAAAACCTAGTCAAAAATAGTCAGATTTTTTGAATGATGAGGTGTATCTACTCAACGGAATCTGGGAAACCAAGTAGTACCGAAAGCCTACTAATAAAAATATCTTAGCTCACTGCTGCTCATACGTCACGAACCATATAGAGCTCAATATCAATAGCTTAAAAGGTCTCTTGCTAACGGTAATACCTTGAACAGATGCGCACGCCATGAGAAGAAAGACAACCCAAAAGCTTTCCATAAGAATAATTTTCGTAACGGACGACTTAGCAAAGCTGAAAAGAGGAGGTCATATGAAGCAGACTTGCAGGATTATGTAAGAATCGTAGACATTCCTCCTCCGAATTTGCAGAAGCAGCTAATTTGCAATCGCGCACATGACATTATCTGCTCAGCTCAAAACGCGTAACACGCTTCTTTGGAAAACCGCCGGCAAAATTGGCAAAATTAAACTAGTTTGAGATTAAACCAGAAAACAGCATAAAAACCAAAGAAATGATTATAAAAATTTTCGGAAAAGAAGTCCAATCTCAGCGATTCGGTAGCGCCGTTCATCTGGAGTCAGCGACGCGATATCGCTGAGATTCGGGCAATCGCGACGATTTCAGTGAAGGAAGTATGCCCTTGGAGAAACGGTTAGCGATCAGTCGCGCTGAACAACTATCACAGCCGGATGGCAAATTGATAGGCATGCAATGATTTTGTAACAGTTGTCTTGTCGGGAGAATTGCGTGGCGATGAAAACGCGTGGTGTATGCCCGGCCCTTAAAGACGATTTCTTAGAGTGAAATATGTCCTACGATTAGTCGTGCTGGAAAACTGTCACAACCCGAAAACAACAATCAGCTTGCAATGAATTTGTAACAGTTGTTTTGCAGCCTGCTTCCAAGATGTTTTTAATTCAGAAAATTTCTCAAGAGTTTGTCGGAAAATATCTCCCTTGACTTTTGTGCTTCTCTTGTCTTGTTGTGAGAATCGCGAGGCGATGGAATCGCGTGATGTATTCCCGGCATTCAGATAGCGGAGCCAGTGCGAGTCGCCAATCACCCACAATAACAAGAGGAATGCAGGAGTCAAAAGAGTTTTCAGCTGACAAACTCTTGAGAAAATCTCTGAACTACGCAAAAACATCTTGAAAGCAGGCTGCAAACTGACCCGAATACATAGCATGAACGTATGTTTGATGAGCAGTAGTACTGATGAAAAATTCCCAACACTATTGTAAAAGATAAAATTGTAGAAAAAATTCGTATAATGCTACAAGCATCATCGAATTTAGGTGAACATCAAAGTAACAGTTTTCATATAATGTACATAGAAACGAAAACTTAATTTCAAGCAAACCGGCAAAACAAGTTTGAACAGAAATTGACAATTAGGCGTTGTAGCGAGCGTCAATGAAGCAATACTTATCGTGTATAAAGGCGTTTCTTCTAATACGCTAATAAGATGAACATGTCGAGAAACAGCCGTCATTATACATCCACTCCAGCTAAGTCTGAAACAAAAATTGCTAAATTATTAATTGTTTGAAAATTCTACGTAACGAAGAATTGGCTCGCCACAAATGATGCCCCAGAAGTTCGCTTGAACTAATTCAACAACTCGTCTGAGTTGTCTTATTATCAAGAAAGTTCTGAAATTGCATGAGATATCAATTTTAGCTTCGTAAAATTGTTTGAGCTATCTTTATATACTTCTTTATTATTACCACACAATCTTTCCGTATTGACCACATGATAACAAAGAGATAGAGTCTCTGGAGACAGTGAAATTATAAACTCAACTGCAAGATGTCACCGCAGAAGCAAAGATCTCCGTTATGTGTTAGCTTCGTAGTAGAAATGGCTTACTGAAAGTTTCCCTGTCAAAAAACCTATATAATCATAGCCTTTAGAGTTGAAGGATATCAGAAAATTCTCCGGGATTCAGTGCGAGTCTCGTATTTCAAAGTGAGAAAGTTGTTTTTACAGCTGTCAATATATGCTTCACATCTGTAGGCACAGGGGTAGATCCGAACTACAAGTGAGTTTGAAAGGATCCCAAAGCCTGGAAAAACTTCAACCTGTGTAATGTCCAGACAGATAACATGCATTGCCTAAAATAATTTTTTTCTTAACTATTTTAAATAACTCAGTCCATTGTCCCAGTAACACATCATTCTGAAATTCTGTAACCAGAGCTTTGATCTTTTCAGATTTACCTGGTTTTGTTTTTCTTCCGCTAATGTGATATGGGATGTCGCATGAAACGCCTGTGATCCGCACTAACTTCAAACTCACTATTGGGCTTTTGATTCTCCACGGCACTCCCTAGCCTAATGCTCGAAGCGGTCACAGCTGCGACACATGCCCCTCGGCCTTCTTTGCGGCTGAGACTAGAACGTCTCTGGCAAAAGCCTCCTTGATTGTAGCTGAGCATTTTAAAGAAGGAGAGGCGGTAGTCCTTTTGAAGCGGAACGGCTTTGCCTGAGGATACGGCAACGGGCCCTTCAAGTCGCCAATCAAGTCGTCAAAAGTCTTGTCCTCCATCTGTTTCTTCTCTCTGATAAACGCGGCCAGAATGGGGTTGTTTACTTGGATGGACTCCGCTTTGACCTGTTGATCATGAAATTCGAACACTCCGAGACCGCGTCCGCCACCATCGGGAGCTCGTTGCATTGGTGAGAACGTCACTGATTCTTGCAGGCTTCCTCTAACTCGTCCCTCATACGGGACATAATATGGCAGCGCTGTCAGAACGGACAGTGGGCCGGAAGCT